ATTTTAATTTCAAATTTCGATTATAAAACACATTCTCGCAAATTGTTTTTCAACAAATCTTATTACATAAAAGTTTAAAGATTTGATTTTGAATATAAATTATAAGAGGACTCACTTGGATGCGTGTCCGTTGCCTGCCGGTGCGAATCAGTTGTGTGCGAAAAAAAAAAAATATAAAAATATTTTAATTTATTTTCATTTTTCTTTGAGAAAACGCATTTAAATATTGTTGAGAAATAAATTAATAGATAAGTGTTTGCACTGACACTTGCATCGGCCGCCCACTGCCAGGTCTGATACGGCATAATAGACACCGTCTGATGGTTTTGTCAAGTCGTTTGAAGTATCGGTTATATTCTCATCAATGGCTCCGATTGTGGTCTCCTCTAAAGCCGACGTTCTTATGTTTATTCTGATGTTTTCAATGAAAATAAGTAGAAAGCAAAGGAATTTTGAGTTCAATTTCACCTCATATATGGAATATTAAATAAATTTCAATATAAAACTTTTAAAGACCTGTTGAACACAATTTTGATGTCAGTGGCAGTGACCCAGTCTTGTAGGACTGGACTGTTGTCAAAATCATAAGCAGATGGTCGTCCTTCTAATGTACTGAATGCAACTCTTGCGCCAGGAATTGGTTCAGTGTTAGAATCAGCACATAATGGTTCTTGTTCATTGGCTTTGATTTAAAATCAATTAAACCATTAATTATATAACACTCGGTAAGTATAAGTGAATGAAGGCAATCTAATTAATTAGTTGAGTAATGAATACCTTTAGTAATTGCGGCCCTATTTTGTCTTCCGTACACTTTTCTGCATTGACTCGAATAGTATTGGAAGGGATGCCACGACTCCCCGTAATCCATGCTTTTGAATATAGCCATAGAATCGGGTTTTGCGGCACAGAATTGGAGACTAATATAAGTCAACTCATATTTTTTGCTCAAACTTAGTGTTAGCGTAACGTTTTGATTAACTTGTGTAAATGGCTCTGATATCCAACAGCTCAGGTTATTTGGATTATTCAGATCAGTCAGATATGATGCTGGATGTCGACGCTTAGGGTTGCTCTGGTCGCACACCTGACAGTCCCGTATTATGTCTCCCCTCTCGTCGTTTGAGGCCACACATAGACGTGTGGGAGGGTTACCACATTCGCTCGACACCTGACATACAACACACCGTATGTTTCAATCGATTTATTTTTAAAAATAACAAAAAAACTACACATTATAAGAGGGATTTAAGCTAAAAAATTTGCTTCAAAAGGCAAATATTTTGCAAACAAATAAACCATAAGTGGTTACTTTTAAGGTAAGAGTCATAACTTATTTTAGTAAAACCTAAAAATGATAATCTCATAAAAATAAACTCATTTCGGACCTATTTTTAAACAATTTCTAAAGTTGTTTAAAACAATTGACACAAAATAATTAGTTTAGAGAAAGAGAGAGGATATGAGAGGGAGTCATACCTTAACTTCTTTAGTGAAGGCCGCGTTCACGAAGTCTGGAATACAACGGCGCGGGTTTCCTATGGAGTGACACAATGAGCAAAAATTGTCCAAAACATGGTATCAATAATTTTTAATATATTACTTTTCATTAGAAAACAAGCAATAAATTACAAACAAACTCTTAAGCACTTGAAACAAATATAGTAATTATCTTAAAAGGAAAACATAAAAAATTTGAAAGAATAAGTAAAATGTGTTAAAAGTATTTTCGTATAATATATGGAGATATTTGTTGGGAAGACATGAAAACATGAAGACATGAAGACATGAAACACATACCCAACTCGTCATAACAAGGATCCGGTGGTTCTGATTGCGATGAGAAGAGACTTAAGAAGGAAGCGTTTACCACAATGTTCTTGTAGTTCAATAAACTGCTGGTCACCAGTAATAACAGGTAGAAAAGCGGCCGTTTGTGGTAAACCTCAATCATATTCATTCTTATGTTGTTTCGATGGCATAAATGGCATAAATTGTTGGTCTGTATAATGAGAAGGCGTTTCTCACTTCTAAACCGATTATTATGAGTCCGATTCACTGAATGCTTGAAAATTATTTATTTACCGCTTAGTTATCACAACTTATTATTAGTTTCTATTTATGTCTATATTATGCGATAACTTCACTTAAATCGTTATTTTAAATGCGAGCATAATTAAAATGAATGCAAATGTGCTTGTACAGGTATCCAATATTTTTCAAACAAAGCTTGGATTGAGATTACATTTATCCCATTGCTTCCAACGATTAATCATTTGGTTTGGAATTTCTTTTGTAGATTTTGTCCAAAAAAGCAATTAGTGTTATATTGGCTACAGGTTGATGACAAACAAGTGAAAATAACTTTATATCATTAGTTTCAATGGAATTACTCGAGAATTACACGATAAGTCCCAATGAATTCAGTATTATATTAGTCATTGAGTTTATTATCTTATTCTTTGAGTGTTTTGAACACAAATCACATTAAATTAGATTTAGTGGACAGCAGTGTTGGACAGTGAGTAACTATAATTAGACAATATTGAAGCACTTCTTACACTAATATAGCGTAACGAATACCAGTAATTGAATGAATGGTATGACTGGCCGTCGGCGGCACTAAAAAACACAATTGCATTGACGGCCGAAGCGTTTCGCAGAGTGTATGAACACTACTCTAAGACCGTAAGAATAGATGGTTTGAATAGTTGAGCCCAAACTCAATGAATGAATGAATGCTCGACACCTTTAGCTCAGGCCTTACCTCACACACAGAATTAAAGCCCATCTCCGCCTACGAATAGCAGGAGTCCAACCATTGAGAGGCAATACGTTTGGCGCAACTCTACCACCACTTCCATACACTTCCCATACGTTTCGAAACTAACTTTTTTCTCTTCTTTTTCATTATTTATGATATATTACTCGCATTCTCTTCTTAATCAAAGTTATTGACTATTAATGGCTTTTGTTTCTTATTTGTCATCAATATTTTATAGCAATAAAAAGTTAATCTCAAAAATTGAATCCAATCTCAGCAATGTGCAAAAATAGAGACATTCTTTCACTTCTCAAATTGAAAACTACAGTATTTTTATCATTAGTCTCTTGTCATGTGTTTTAATCATTTTGTCGCTCGAGTCACAGATATCATTGAATATTATTATAAGCATATTATTATTATAGTATTTATTGCTTAGATATGGATTTAAAATGAATTTAATATATTAGAAGTATTGATTGCACTGGTATCAGATTAAACCAAATGTATACAAAATATTAATATAACCCGAATAAATGGCAATGAAGTTCATTGTCATAGAATGTCATTTGGTTTTCATATAACAGTCAACACATTATGTATAATAAAATGCATTCATTGCAGACGGACTCACGCTATGAATACAGGGATTATCCCAATAGGTCTTAACGAGTGTCTCATCTCTAAAGCAATAAAATTCTAATACAAACACAGTTTGAAAGTCATTGTATTTAATGAATATATTGTCTGCACTGTATTTGCCATTTGCTGTTAGTTTGGGTTCATAATATGACATAAGATAATACGAGTGCAATACTACTGTACCACAGAATAGAGACATAGGAATTAATTTAAGGGTTTTTATATCATCGGTTCAGATATTAATTCTCATTATTATTGGACTCAAAAACAAATTAAAACAATTGAGAGAAAACTAAATATCATTTAAATTCAATTCTTTGCAATAACTACAAAAGTTTTATATATTGAGTCTCAGATTTGGTTGCCTTTTTGGTTCAATTTCGCCGACTTTCGCTTTAGGCCTCGAGTCGGAGGGCTTTCCCTTTCAGTTCATACTTAATGTGTTTTTCGTTTAAAGTATTTTTGAATCATTACTTCATTACTGAAAGTGATATTAAATTCTAACTTTTGAAAAGAAATTCTTTGTTAGAAATATAATGGAAACTCAGGCAATAACTTATTTATTTCTATAGCTTTGAAATAAATTTAGAATTTCTAACATTTTTTGGGGTTTCAATAAATAATAATTTATTATTTGTTATATATTGTAAAATATATTAAATAAAACTGTTCTCTTATTGCATATTAATAAACTTAGATATGGTTAATATTATAAAGTTAATGTTTTACAATATTTTTATTGAATATTTAGGTATGATCCAAATAAATGACATTATTTTCAAATTCATAAAAACATTTTAGAAAATATTTATCGCAAATATTTTTACAAATGTCTACATGTGATGAAAAATTGGATCCTAAAACACAGATTATAAGGGTGTTATGAAAATACCACAAATTAAGTTATACAGTATTTAGAATTACTAACTGTAAGAATATGAGTTCATTTTACAGTATTCTTAGACAATATCTGATTCATATAAATGGGTTCTCATTCATAAATCAACACAAAACAAGGTTTACCTCACATTTGTTTATTTATTCATGCAATTCAATTGCTTTCATATGAGTACTGAACTCACTATTATTAGAATTGTTTCATACAGACTTCCTATTATCTATAATAAGTTAACTGTTTATTAATAATAAATTTTATTTTATATTATCAAAGGACTTTTTGTTATTTAAAAATCATTAGAAATTAATAAAAATAAATTATTAAGTAGTGTTTCAAGTTTAATTACCCATAACACATATATAATTATTTAAAATTAAAAATAAATAATAATTGCCCTTTTAAATATTTGTCCATAAATAAATATTTAATTCTCTGTGAAGTAATGCTATTTCAAGAATAATATTGTATAAGATTATGGAAAGTGAATGTGAATGCAATGCCGGTATTAGCCATGAATGAGATATAAGTGATATAAGTGATGGCATATATGATGAGCTTATTTATGAAAAGCATTGGTTTTGTCGTTGCCATCAATCAATTGATATAAAAGAATAGGTTATGGCATACAATATACACTATATTGACAAACGTATCGTACAAATGATGGTTACATAAGAATATAAATTGCAAACCAAAGACACATAACACATGCGATTCTGTGATTATGCCTAATATCTAAACATCTGCTCATAAGAAAACTTTGTTTCGCATTATTTCCTTAACAAACATTTTCAAAGTTAAAACGAAAGCCATTTTTCAAAACATTTGAACATTTAATTAATTGGATGAAAACAAATCCAAGTCTGGCTTTTGTGCCAGAATTACATCGAAATGCCAGTGAATGTAGACTCACTGTAAAGCACTTGAGATACTCGATAGTGTTGACGGAATTCAATGCAAATGCAAACAAACACACAGTTCACTGAGAAATGCTTTATTTAAACACTGTTTCATGATTTTAATTTCCACTCATTTAAGCGTTGTTTCTAATTTAAAATATTTTACTACAAAATGTATCATTAGTTTCAATTTTAATACGTTTTCATACAAGTTCTTAAAGCACACAAACAAACATTTCAACAAACATACGATATTGTTAACTAATTTGAGCAAGTACTCTACATTTATACTGTATTGATCCAATTAAAATTTAACTTTAATTATTAAATATAAAAATCTTATTGATTTAAATTGTTTATTATATAAATTAAAATATAAACATTTATATTCATTAAAAATTAGTTCATTTCATTGAGTCATATATACTGTAATCATATAATTATTTACAATACGAGTAATTAATTTGATTTTTTGGTTTTACGTTTAAATGGAAACGAGTCGAGTAGTGGTGGTTCGGCCACCCGTTCCCCAAACATCACCCGATCCGTCAAGTGTTCAAATAAGTCCTCTTTCTTAGACTTAGACTTAGACTTAGACTTACTCTTCACTCGCTTTTTCTCTCTCCTCTTGTTTTCTATTAATTTCCGTTTCAATCGTTTATTACTTTTAGTCTTTTTCTTGTCGTCCGACTTCTCTTCCACTTTGTCTTCATTTGTGTCCAACTTTTGGCAGAAGTCGACGTCAAAGCGGTCCTCAATGTTGGCCTCAGCCTTGGCTTTAGCCGACAATTTGGTCAATCGGCTCATGAAGTGGATCTCACTTTCATATAATCCCTGTTCAATCACTTCTGGCAATTGTTTCGCACTTCTTGTCATCCCTTTCTCTATCGGCTCCGATGTCGTCCTCACTGACCATCAATTCAACCATCAATTAAGTCGCCATTCATTCAATTAATCACAAAATCAAAACAAACCACAAATCAATTCATTGTTAATCTTCTTCCTCTTATTCTTCTTAGTGTTGGTCTTGTGTTTCATCTGTTGTTTCAGATCCAGGATTTGCTGCCATTTTCTGGGAATCGACTGATCCTTGAATTTGCTGTTAAATACATTCAAATGATATGTCAAATCAATTTGCATACAAATCATATACAAACACTCACTTGTCTGTGCCAATATGACCATGATCATTGTGGTCATTATCGTGGCACGTGTTGTCCACACACTTAAACTTCTTGTGTCGACGACTCTTAGCAATCCTCGAGTGTCTCATCACTTATCTGAAGACACAATGGATGTGTCACTCGTGTAATGATTAAATTAAAAAAGTGACAAGTTTTTAATGATAATATTAGTTTTCACATTTTTAACAACTTTACAATTAAAGTATTTTTACTTCTTTTTCTCGTGACATTTATTATGTGTTTAAAACTTTATTACTTATGATATATTCATTATATTCAATAACTTTTTTGCTTTTAAAATAATACAAGTTGTATAATCAATCATACAATTCTTGTTTTCTAATAACTTATGCTTTTAATTTAATTTAATAAAAATAAAATTTAAGCAAAATTAAAATAAGTATTAGTTTTGATGATTAAATAAAATAAAAATAAATTTAGCAAAATGTATAGAATAAATGATTCACAGGATTTGAAACACTCTTAATTAACTTAAATATATAGCAATTAATGAGTTTCTTTTATTTAGCAAATTAAAGGATATGTATGTATATACAGTAGTATAAACTACAGGATATGGCATATAGTATATGCAGTACAAATTATATTATAGAATTCAAATATTAAGTAACTTTTTAATTACCCCAAAGACTTTATAATAATTTTGTTTGAAATAAAAGAGTTATAAAGATTTCTCGTATAAGTTATAAAAGTATTATGAAAATTACGTGCATTGGATGAGTTTGTGAATTAATTTGAATAGTGAATTATTAAATTCTATGCAATGTATAATGATAATTGTATAATGGTGCAATGTTATTATAATATATGAAGTGACAGTTTGACGGAATGTCAATTTGATTCATTTCTTATGTTAAACTTGTTTTGTTATTCAAAAATACTATCAATAGATTTATCCCTAACTAATAAACTAAAAAAGTCTTAAGCCAAGCAAACCAATGAGCCGGCAATTTGTTAAGTCAAACATTTTTGCGAAATAATTTAGAAATTCCTTTAAATTCTTATGAGAGCCTAAAGCAATGTTCATTTGGTTGGACTCACCTCTTGTAGTCGTAATCTCTAAACTCTATTATTAAAAAAATAATACAGAATTTGTCTCAAAAATTTATTCTAATCCTTACGGTCTTATCGGACGGAGAAATCTATTTAAAAATTATAAATCAAACCAAATATATGTAAAATTATATGAAAAAGTTTAAAATGTGTTGCAATTATAATATGTATCTAATTATTGCAATAATAATAAATAATAAAGCTATTAATTAGGTACAGGGAATAAATATTAGATAGAGAGCTGTTAATTAGTGTGTATTTTGTAAAAACAATTGCTTTTGATAGAAATTAGTCGTATTAGTGAAGTGAGGTCTGGAGGACTAGCTGTAAGATGGGTTACTCCTCCGGCGCCATCACCACTGGACGCCTTCAGAGCCTTCAGATGTGGGTTCGGATGGCGTTTGAACTGAACGGAGGGATAGAGGGTCTGCAGAGTGAGAGGCGCTCACAACAGTTGTCGTGAATTACTTCACAAATATTTCCTCCAAAAATTCAAACTTCACATTGCATTGAAAAACATGGAGATTGTCGGAGTCTCATCTCACGCTGACTTTATAACACGCAATCTCTTAACTCAATAAACCCCTTCCCCTCCACTTCCAAGTGATCGCTAATATAAATAAAAAATTTTATGATTTCTTTTTGTTCTCCAATGACAATGAATTTATCAAAAAGAGAAGTTTTAATTATGAGTTTCTTAACATTGCATTTAAGCTTACAAATTATCTCTTTATTTGTATTATGTGTCACAAAATGTTAACATTTTTCAAATTTATTCAAAGTATAACATAAATTGTGTGAAGCTTTTTTGCAACAAATTTGCTGAGCTTTTAGATAAAATTCATTTTATTGTATTAAGTGTTTTGGTCTTGAATTTGTTTAACAGAATTTAAATTCAAGTTTAAATTAATATTACATAAAATATTATCATTCATACAGTCTGTCTGCTTATATCATAAGTGATTTCAAATGAAAGTTCAAAGAATTCTTTAATAAATTAGTTATGATTTATGAATTTTGTTTATTGCAAATAAATTGATTTATATTTCATTTTAATTGAAATAAATAAAGAAAAGGATATTATATTAAATATAATTTATTATATACTAAGGGAATAAATGCTATTTCAAGTTCATTAGCAATAAATGTTATATTTATCAGATTTCTTATAAATTTCAAATCAGACTGAATTAAATTTAAAACATGGATAAAAGTTTTTTATTTTACACATTTTGTGTGAAAAATACTGTATTACTTAAAAACAAAAACATAATTTCTCAAAAACTGTAAAAATCTGATTTTGATGTGTGAAAAAATATAAATTATCCCTCATTTTAATGAATTAAAAATTTTGGTTTTTAAAAAGTTTGTTTTCATAAACGTTTTCGTGCAATTTATCTTATAGCCATAACATTATCTCAAAAACAGTTAATTATTACTTGTATGCAATGAATTGCAAATTAGTTATTGTTTTATGCTGTAACTTCAAAATGTTACCAATTATTTATGTGTTATTATTACATAATTTATAACAAAAAATGAAATACTTCTTACACTAAGAAATTCTATATGCTATACATTCTTGGATTAAAACTATTGCTAATATGATAGCTATAATAAAAAGATATTTTGTTGTTATGTCTAAACAATGCGTGATATGTATTGATAGGGAGAAGTGAGTACTAGAGAGCAGATGTGACTTTCAATTAACTTAATTCTGTTGGCGTTTATTGAGAGCAAACATATTTTCCTCTTCACCTCATCTATGCTTACATTCATCTTATTCTTCGACTTTGTCTTTGTTTGCATTCATTGTCTTAATATGTAATACACAACAAATACAATGTAATTGCCTTTTTAGAAAATTCCCTATCGTTTCATCAAATAAGTTATTTTTTCGATAATTTCAAGACATATTTAAAACATCAATCATTTTAATATTGAATGAATTTATTGTTCTTAATAAATGCGAATAATGTATCATATAATAAGTCATAATTATTTTTTAGAATCTCAAATTCATGGGTACAAATTGTTTATATTGATATTACATAATATATACATGTATAAACTCTTGAAAAGAGGACATATTTTGGGTTACTTTTATGGATTAAAACTTGTCAGTCAAAAAATCAAAATATGATTAATTAATATAATTTAAACTAAATAAATATTCATAAACACATTTAGCAGTCAACTACATTTTAGAATTTAAGAATTTTCAATTAAAATATTTATGAAAATAAAAGTTTAGACAGAAAAATACATAATTACATAAATAAAAAATTTCAGACTAAATATTTATGATAAAATCTTAAATAACTTATTGTAAAATACCATTACTCTTATTATTTATTGTTATATTAGTTTTCTTATTATGTAATGATTCAAAAAAGTGTTTAATTCAATTATTTGCACAATAATTGATCCAAAATAAATTTGTTTTGTTAGTTTGGATAAATAATTGAGATAAAGATTGATTAAGTTTGGGACGACAAGAATATCTCGAATGTGAGACAAGACTAGTATTGGTTGTCCATCGAAATGATTAATTTGATTGAATAGATTGAAGACTATGTCTACAGTATGTATAGAATCAAGTGTTGTATAGTTATGTGGAGTAGTGTTACAAAGACTTTAAGAAACATTAATTACAAACAATTGAAGGGCTATTGTGTTGGAATGCAATCGAATTCTGGGTATGAGTTGATTGAAGAATACCTTCAAAATGGACTACAGTTTGGATAATAGTGTTTGGAGTACTAGTTTGGAGTACTAGTCTGTACTATAAGGGACTGTTTGGAAACAGTTTATCTCATGTCTCATCTCTTGTGCTAATTATGTGTGGTTTTCAGTATTAAGCCCTGACTTGTGCTCACATTACCAGTTGCCATAAGTATAGCATCGGATACGCTATAAGTAAAGCATTTGACAAATGACTCTCTTATCACAATAACACATCTCGTATTGCATTGAATGTGTGGTCCGACACCTAAGAGATAGTAAATCAAAGCCAAACTAACTGTCATTTATATATAGAAAAATGCTTTTTATCCTAAGCGCTAGTATTTGTTTAGATTTGGTCGCCTTTCATAACAATTTGCCGCCGATTAGGCACTGAGTTCTTGTCGTATATCACCGGTCAGTTGACTGGCTTTAGATCCTGAGATGGATCCCATGTGAAGACTTGCCATATGTTTCAAGTCTTCCGAAATGTTCAGACATTTGTTTGATTTTTGAGTTTCTTTTTTGTCTTCGCGTCTATCCTCTCATATGAGACATCATTCAAGTCATACACTCTTCTCGCAAATGTTTTACACAATCAATGAATAACTCAATGAATGTGTTATATATGATGCCATATATTTACAATACGATATAAAGTAGATTTGTTGCAATTATAGTATGAAAAATAGTGGAGTTGTAGTGCAAAGTCATGTCATTGGGAGCCTTAATGTGCCAATCGTTATACAAAACCTCAGTTGAATTTCACTGCAAACACATAATTCAATAATTTCCTTGACATCCCTTTATTTTTATATCAAATAAACTATTATTTATGTTAAGACTCCAAGAATTTTATAACCCATTCAACTCTAATTAAACGAAATCTTTTAAATTCCTATACCATTAATGCAGTGGTATTCACACAAATTGTACATTCAGTAGAGATTGTAGTATTTATTCTGTAAATATTAGTGATTTTCAATTTGAAACTTAATTCCCTTTAGAATGAATGCATTTATAAAATTCATTCACAAATTGATTGGTCAATAGTCTGCCGCAAATATAGACACAGTTTTCAATTTGTTATTTGTAACCATTAATAATACAAGAGATGATTATATTATACATCTATAGACTACAGTATAGCACTAGACAGAAGACCCTCATCATTATAGCCTCAACTCAAATACTTTTACTAACAAAACCTTTCATTTAGTGGACATACCTTACGGTTATAGTTAGTCTCACCATCCCTTCAAAACATATACGAAAACAATTATTTTATTTTTGTTGAATTAATTTGATTTCCGAGATAATTGAGTCCAATTCACATCTATTTATTTAATACTCAATGAATTATTTATTCTTGTATTATATGTATAGCGAATACAGACATAAACATGAGATCG